ATTTTATGCTGGAGACTTGGCACAAGATACAAACTGAGATCTCTAGACTACTGTTGTGTTCCTTGCTCACTTACTGCCGATATTATTGATAATTATGGAAAGGGAACTGGTAGAGGGGAATTAAATGGCTGTGAAACCTCTTGACTTGAACAAAAAGAAACTGATTGTAAATAATGGCAATAAATAATGGCAAATAATAATGGTTAGGGTCCAGAATCCCTAAGAAAAGCTCTCAAAATACTAATGCCCATTGAAAAATTTTAAAGCAGTCAATATTCTCTTTGATTTTAAAATATCTTATGCTAAAAGACTTCATATAGAAGAATATCAGTTTCTTCTACACTCTATAAATACACTGGAAATTAGAACATATACTGATAGCTTCTTCTCAAAGTAGAATTATGCTTAATTAAAAAAAAACACAACTATTTGGAAGCAATCAGAATAATAGAAATTCTCTACCTGAGAGCCCAATTGCTTCTCTGGCTCTGGAGGTGAGGGTGTCTCCCGCCACTTAAAAATGGATGGTCCTCCAGCTCTCCTAACGGGGCACTGCACGCAGTATTTGCTTGGCTCTGATATTGACTTTGGTTTTCTGCCAACAGTTTCAACTTTTTGTCCTGTCAACATATTCCATGAAGGTCCCATTCCTGTGTTCAGCTATTTAATATATTAACTATTTCATTTTAGGGCCCCACAATGCATGCCCAGATTTCCATATTTAAAAATGTGCATAGCATTCCCCGTTATTTGGAGTCATGCAGCTTAAATTTCATTTAACTGAAATTTCCCATTGCAATTACCTGGATGACAACTGAATGAGGAATGGGTATGGGTAGAGGGGAATTAAATGGCTGTGGAAGGATCTGGAAGGATCTTTTGACTAATGATATCTATGCTTTTCCACATCCTCATCAAAGAAGCATGTAACACTGAAGTTTTGAGTATGGAAGGGAATTGGAGGATGATTAGGTCCTTTTCTCACCCAGTTTAGGAAATGATATATAGCAGGAGTTGACAAACCACAGTTCACAGACCAAACCTGGCCCGGTGCCTGTTTTTGTAAATAAAGTTTTACTGGAACACAGCCATGCCCATTCATTCATGTAATTGTCTATACTTGCTTTCATTCTACAACTACCGAGTTAAGGAGTTGTGACAGACAGTATGGCCTACAAAGCAGAAAAGGTTTACTATCTGGTGCTTTTCAGATGAAGTAAGCTGAAACCTGCTATATAACACTCTTAGCAGTCAGGATGCCTCATCTGGAAAAAAATATACTGGTTTTCCTAGAAATCTGTTCCTGCCCAGGGAGTTCTATTTATTTTTATTTTTAATAAAAAGTATCCTTATATACTGAAATATACCTTCTTGCAACTACTTTAATATTTTATAAATAAATAAATAAATAAATAAATAAATAAATAAATAAATAATTATTTTTAGCCTGTGTGTGGAGCAGGGTGGGTGCGGGGGCAGAGGGAGAAGGAGAGAGAGAATCTTTAAGCAGGCTCCAAGCTCAGCACAGAGCCCAATGCGGGGCTGACTTCTTGGGTCTGCCTCCTTCCCAAAGCTGTTCAATAGTTTTCTCCAGGGCTGGCATGTCTCACGACCCTGAGATCATGACCTGAGCCAAAATCAAGAGTCAGCTGAACCATCCAGGTACCCCCTTCTTGCAACTTCTATCCTTCAGTCCTAGATTTACTTACTAGATCCATACAAAATAATTTATTCTCTTTTTTTGTGTGCTTTTTAAACTATTTAAAGACCATATTCACTTGTCCACTATATCTCCTTTGTTTTCTAACCCTCAAAATTATAGTACATCATTCTGCTTAGTAAGTTAGATTTTTAGGGAGTTGATTCTTATATAAATATTTTATGCATATTGCTGCAATGCAGAACTGTGCTTATTAAAAATGTAGTATAATGTTGCCGATAAAATATTTTCTGGCTGTAATGAAGTAGCATATTTCAAATATGCATGCTGTGCCACCTTGTAGATTCAATGTATCAACTAGTACACCAGCAGTCAACAAAAAGAATCCTCTGCCTTGTGCAATATAAAAGAATTTAAGTTTGGGATCTCATCTGTTACCAGCCTCAACAGAAAAAACAATGAGTGGAATGAAGTTACCTTGCCTCCAAAGCACAGCAAAAACCCTTGAGGTTGTTTCCCTAAAAAGTGAGATTACAGATTTTAACCTTTTTACATACTTCTGTGTTCCATTTGAACTTCTCTTACAGCAAAACATAAGTTATGTTCTAGTAATACAACAAAACTAACAGTTTCTTTTTAGAAGAGCCAAATCAGAAATAAGTTGAAAAGAGGCAATGGTAGGCAGAATTATAAAATGTTCCCTAAGATTTCCCGGTCTAATCCCGGGGACTGAATGTAGGATGAGATGCCCTGTCTGTCCATGATCATGCGGTGTTATGTGACAGAAGCAATTTTGCAGGTGCAATTAGGATTGCTAAAGAGTTGATTTTGAGCTAATCAAAATGGAGATGATGTGGGGGCCTAATCCCATCCTGGGGGCTCTTTGAAAGCATGGTTTTCTTCTGCTGTTAGCCTAAGGAGAAGGCAGAACCCAGGTGTGAAGGGGGAGTAGTTGGCTTTGACATGGATGAGGACCTGCAGCAAAGCCCTGAGAGTGGCCTCTGATGCTTCCAACAAACCGAATGAGCTTGGATGAGGATTCTTCCCATGACACCCACCGCTTGATGTGGGGTTTGTGAGATATCAAAAAGGGAACCCGGCTAAGCCCACCTACTGATCTTAGATCTAGACCACAGAAAGGATAAATTAGGGTTGTTTTAAACTGTTAAGATTGCAGTCAGTTGTTACAGCGAGAGAACACTAATATAGAAGCTTTATTATCTGAAGTGACAGTGGCCTGGAGAGAGAGGGTTTGGAACTGGACACTTCTGGGGGGAGGGAGTGGAGGAGTCCCTAGTGGAAGACAGGCGCCTTGGGTGGGAGGGTGGGCCGGCGGCAGGGTGGTGATCTGCCATGGGAGCTTTCAGAGAACCTGTGGGGTTTTTGTTTGTTTGTTTGTTTGTTTTTAAAAGGCCTGAGTCTCTAATGAAGCTGCTGTGTGTCCAGGAGATGGGGTGACCGGGAAGGAGATAGATGAACAAAAGCTACACTCTGCTGCTCATTAGGAAAAGAACCTCAGTTCACTGAGAAAGGTCTTTGGTGCTTGCATCTCTTGAAAGATTTCTGCTCTCTGCATCTCTACAGCATTAAATGTCCCTGCGAAGGGTCACACTTTAGGCTCTGCTCTTCCCAGTGCACCTCAGTGAGAACTAAGGTCTCTTATATATGTAACACCACTGTTATAAATACATACATAAATAAAATATATATTAATATATTTTATAATATATATTAGTATATATAATATATATTATATATAATAGAATAAATTACAAAATAAATATTTTAGCAGAACAGCTGTGGTAGGGTAACAGCTATAAGGGGAGTGTAGAATAGACTATTTGTGAGGGATCAAAAAGAGGAAAGGGCAGTAGGAAACATGAGATGCCATTGTTAAACATCTCATTTAAAAAGGCATCTTCCATCCCTCCTGCCTCTACTATGCTTTATTTTTCTTCACAGCACCTACCACTATCTACATTGTGTTCCCTATTTGCTCATTTTTATATTGTTTTTCTGCTGCATGTTAGCCCTCACACCTTGCTGATAGGCTTGGGTCTCTAGCCCCAGAGCCCTGAGTAGTACTTGGCAAACATTTATTGAAGGAAAGAGTGAAATGATGAATAAATACATAAATAAATAAGAAATTAAATTTTCTTAAGGAAGGAAGGATGGATGGAAGGACAGAAGGGGAAGGAAGGAAGGAAGGAAAGAAAGAGAGAGAGAGAGAAGAAAGGAAGAGAGAGAAAGAAAGAGAGAGAGAAACAGAGAAAGAGAGAAGGAAGGAAGGAAGAGAAAGAGAGAGAGAAACAGAGAAAGAGAGAAGGAAGGAAGGAAGAAGGGAGGGCGGGATGGGAGAAGGGAAGAAGGAAGGAAAGAAGGAAGGAACTAAGGAAGGAAGGAACTAAGGAAGGAAGGAAGAGAAAGAGAAAGAAAGAAAGAGAGAAAGAGAGAGAAACAGAGAAAGAGAGAAGGAAGGAAGGAAGGAGGAAGGAAGAGAAAGAGAGAGAAAGAAAGGGAGAAACAGAGAGAAACAGAGAAAGAGAGAAGGAAGGAAGGAAGAGAAAGAGAAAGAAAGAAAGAAAGAGAGAAAGAGAGAGAGAAACAGAGAAAGAGAGAAGGAAGGAAGTAGGAAGGGAGGAGGGATGGCAGAAGGGAGGAAGGAAGGAAAGAAGGAAGAGAGCAAGATATTGAGGACAGGATGGTCCTTTACCCACAGTTGTGGACCATCTAAGTCACGTATGAAAGTCACTGTCATTCTTATAAGTGAGGATGAGCTGCCAGTCATAGATACTACTGACAGCAATTATTGGACTAATAGCCAGACTGGCCTTAATCCCATGAATATGCTCTGTGGGGAGCAGATGTCCTCTCGAGGTTCCATTTAATTGCTCAATAGGAGACACTGCCATCCTTGGCTTTCATAAACAACATTGTTTCTGGTGATAAGGAATCAGCCCTGGATACAACATCAAGCAGTACTGATGGAATAACAATTAATGATGGAGGCACAGGAGGCCAAAAAGTCTGAAGCACAATCACATGCCTACAAAGCTGTGGCCATATGAAGAACATTAAGTGTGTCCGAGTGGATTAAAGGTCTTAATTTATTCTGTTTCCATAAGCATAAAACTTCAAACTGGCGATTGACTTGAGCAAGAAAGGAGGCCAAGAGTACAATATGGTGAAAGAGAGGTAAGCCTCCATCCTGGGAGTGCCCAGAAAGCAGGCTTGTGCTGACACACCTGTTACCATTCAGCTAAAACACATATTTTTAAACTATGTATAGCATTCAAAAATAAGTTTAAAACAGTCTAGAAATAAGATAATCATGCGTACATACAGTAATGATCTTCTTTTGAGTTAAAGGCTATCATAAGTTTTTGATATAGAAATAGGAGTTTGAGCCTTAATTTCCACAAGACCTACATTGGCGAATACCAGGAAAGACAGGAAAGGACTCATGTGAACCGCAATCACAAGCAAATTCTGGGGAGGAGGAGGCAGGAAGTGATGGGAAGGAAAAAGGAGGGACCACAAGGTATCTCATGGGATCAAGAGAGTTGGGGGAGGAACAACTGCAGGCTGGGAGTGAATTTAGAAATTGAATTCAGTGTAAAAGGTCCAAAGAAATACTCCTGTTTGGTGAATTTCTGCACAAGAAGCAGAGGACAGAATACACAGTCCATTCGTAGTAATTACAGATGAGAGATTTGTCCCTGGAATTTGGAATACAGATAGCCAGAATGAAAACTGGGGTGAATCTGGTTTAATTAAAGCAAGAAATAATGATGAATTAGTCTGGGGAATACATCGGGAGGGAGCTAAGAAACTAGACTCTTGTGTTTGGCTAATCCCAGCTATATTCTAAAATAAAGCACTGGACTTTTCATTTCCTATCATCTTAGAAAAGGTGGAAACCCTGTATGTCCTCAAATGCTATTGCATTTATCATTTCACATACATAAAAACATCAAATCATGGTGCTATATACCTGAAACTAATACAGTGTCAGTTAAATCTTATTAAAAATTCTATTGCATTTAAATGACTAGCAGACATATGTTATTGGCTGATGTTATCCAGCCTAGGGAAGTATTGAACAGCACAAAGGACAGAGGATGAAAATCTAAGATCATGTCCAAAGAATAGAGCAACTTCCTTCATCCCATAGCTGAGCTGACAAACACTAAGTTGCTTTTGGTTAGAAATGAAAGATAATCAACCTAAGCAAAATGACAATAGCCTGGCCCTTGAGCTCCAGGGTAGAGGAGAACAACCCAACAGTGCACAGGGCAGACATGCAGGTGAGCTTCCGCATCGCCTGGAACGCAGGATGTGGACCTTCCAGGATTCTCTCCATTTCTTCCCTCTGCTTCTTCTTTACCCATCACCTTCTTCCCATCTCCTAGTGGCTGCTCCAGAGGCTCAACTATCAGTTGATCCCCAGTCTCACAACTTAAAACCTCCACTGATTCCCAAAGGCAGAACTCAGAGTTGGCCCCTGCTTGGGTCAATCAACTTAAGTCAAAAGAACAAGATTGCCTAAGAACATGGCATCATCAACTAAAACTGTGTATTCACAGTGTGCATGTTGGGGAAGCAAAAAGGTGAGAAACGGAAGAAAAAGGGGGGAGGTATTTATCATGGGATAGTTCCAAAGATAAAAAGGGTACTGTTCCTTAATAAAAGGGGGGAGGTATTTATCATGGGATAGTTCCAAAGATAAAGAGGGTACTGTTCCTTAAAAAAGGGGGGGAGGCTTCCAGACAGACTAAAAAATTTGTCATGTGCCTACCAGCATCTCATTAGATGCTGGAAAGAAAAACATTTTCGTCTTCCAGATATATTCCAGAGTAAAAATTGATTTTTTTTTTCACAGCATTTCTTTCACTGTGAGACAGGTCACTTGGTCCAAAAACTGACATTCTTTAGTTGTCTTGACAATGAACAGAACATCAATCAGTTCACTAATCCATCACCTGGTAAGGTTTATAGACTATAAATGCCTGAGATCCAATGATGCTGATAGTTTTGTTGATTCCCAGGCTTCTGTGGGAGATTTCAGTTTCTTTTTTTTTTTTTTTTAAAGATTTTATTTATTTATTTGAGAGACAGAGAGCACAAGAGGGAAGAGGGCAGAGGGGGAAGCAGACCCCCCGCTGAGCAGGGAGCCCGATGTGGGACTCGATCCTAGGACTTCAGGATCATGACCTGAGCCAAAGGCAGTCGCTTAACCAACTGAGCCACCCAGGTGCCCCGAGATTTCAGTTTCTGCTGAGCAAAATGTGTTGGTATTTCTATTTCTCCTCTGGTTAATTCTTCAGAGTCAGGAAAACTCAAAATCAGTCTATGACAATGGTACAAGGAACATTTTGTTAGAAAATCTGAGTAGTACTGTTGACATCAGCTCAAACGTGCTATTTCTTTTATTACTCATTATGAATTGGTCACCCACTAATTTGCCTTTAAACCTATCTATATTTCAAACTGACATCAGTTCTTAAAATAAAATGTAGCATGTATGATTAAAATTTAATTTATTTTTCTTGAGATACCTCTGTCAAGCAGTAGTAAGACAGGTAATAGGGTCACAGATATTAGATCATCGTCTTATTTAAAAAAAAATAAAAAGCCAGCATCTGCGTTTTGATACCACAGAGTATAACATAATTTCTCAATTCCACCTCTAACATGGTTAAGAGAATTTCCCATTAAAACACAAATAACAAATTATTCTGGGGCCACATGAAGACCTTAGGCTAAAAGGTAACATCAGGGTGCCTGGGTGGCTCAGTCGGTTAAGCGACTGCCTTCGGCTCAGGTCACGATCCTGGAGTCCCGGGATCGAGTCCCGCATCGGGCTCCCTGCTCGGCAGGGAGTCTGCTTCTCCCTCTGATCCTCCATCTCATGCTCTCTCTCTCTGTCTCATTCTCTCTCTCAAATAAATAAATAAAATCTTTAAAAAAAATAAAATAAAAAAAAAATAAAAGGTAACATCAAAAAATGTTTTACTTTAAATTTAGTTTTACATCCAATGTAGGGTCACTAAAAAAAGAAAGGGGGAAGAAAAGGAAAGGAAGGAAAAATAACACAAGTTTTATATCTAAATGCATAAAATTGAGAAATAATGCTAATTTCCAAGAATAAAACTTTGATTATCTATAGTCATCTGGGAATAAGATTTTCTGCCTATATCCACTTTTTAGATAACAAAGGTAAGCATATGATGGGACTCTTTTTCAACTGTATCATATACTTCCTTGACTTTTTCTCATCAATTTAGCAACTGGGTTGTCTGCACAAGGGTTTCTTGGGATTGTAATGTGGGTAGAGCTTCTGACCCTGCCCTAAATAACTCAGCCTGAAGTGCTTGCAAATGGCTTTGGTTTTATAATCTCTTCCTCTGATATTCTTTGAAGAATAGAAATTCCATCCTCTTAATTTGTTGCTTCTATCTGCTATTGCCTTGGGAGTATTGAAAAAACAATCTTATTAAGTTTATTAAATGTTTTTTAAAGTCACTGAGTGAGGGAGTAGAGATACTACCTATGGAATTAAAATTCAGAGAATGTATGTCAGCTATCAGCTCGATAGGTATGTTCTGGAGCATTGAATTTACTTGCCTAACCCTAAACTAAGTGAGATATTACTGGTTACTAAATATAGATGAATGGCTTATCTTTTCCTTTAATGATGGAAGAATTCTAGAAGAAATATCCAAAATAAGAGGCAGAAAATCTGTGTTGTAATGACACATCTAGTTACAGACCTGAGTTCCAATAAAGTAAAAGCAGACATAGTGAAGCCTATCGCACTGGGAGTGGAGAGATGTAGAGTACAGACCTCTATATCTGGCCCTATCGCCCACTCGTAGCATGACTCTGGGCAGAAACTTACCTTCTCATTGACCTCATTCCCTTCTTCTAATAAAAGGGAGTACACCTAGATAAGCAATAAGGACCGTCCAGCTCCGAAAGCCATTACTCAACCCTGACACAATGTGGGGGATTGGTTATTACCAAGAGGAATCTTTCCCAACCTTGTACGATATATAAGGGTAGTTGTGATACTATGAATAATGAAGTCATGGCTATAAGGACTTAATCAAAAGGGAAATAGGAACAGAACCTATGAGTCAACTTACAAATTATCTACTCTAGGTGATAAAATCCAAAAAGCGCTATAATAATAATTCTTCTCATAATTGATGCCACTCATATAATTTAAAAACTTAAGCTTCTTATGTCTAAGTACTTAATTAATCACCTTTTTCAAAGTAAATGCATATGTGTACATGCATATATATGTTCCCCAGTCAATAAGAATACCTTAAAAAAAATTCTGGAACTTTAATTAAATTATATCCTTTGGATCTGCCAATTGAAATTGAGTTGGTCAGTGGCTACCTCTGTTGAAAAACTTGTCCTATGTTTATTTGGGTGCCATCATCAGTTAACTCTACTTTTGGGATCAAAACCAAGGGTAAGATCTATGGTGGTGATGAAAATATAAAACTCTTTGTTGGACTTGACTGCAACGTAAGCAGGGACAAGAAAGAAATAGGTCTAGGGACTAAGAGTGTTGAACTCTGATCTAGAAATTATAAATCCAATTTCCTTCAAGAAAGAACTTTTACATGACAAAGGCACAGTCCAATTATATGGTTAGGATTCATCTGTATTTCTCCTCTTCAACTTGATCCAGATGCCATTAGCTGGACGAAGAATCAACTCTCCTGCTAGACCAAGTTCTTCTCTTTTCTGGTTGGATTCTACCCAAAAATGCCTCAGGATGCAGGAAAGAATGGCCTTTTCTTCCATTATGGCAAATCTTTGACCTTCAAATTAATGTAAATAGCATTACTTTATTTATACATATATCTTAAATCTGAGAAATCATAGGTCCTATTAGAGGAAGCAAGTGATTTTATATTTCCACAGTAGGGACAATCAGAATCCTTGGGATGTTTGTTAAAAATGAAGATTCTTCAGTTCCCTTCTCTGCTCCTACCCAGTGCATCCAAATAGTTGGAGTGGGGTAGGTATTTGTATTTGAGCAATAACCCAGATGAATTCTGGTCACTGAAGCATGAGAATCACTACTTTAGATGGCTTTCTTATTGGGCCTTTAATTTACTATAGTAAATATGCTTCAGATTCATCCATTTAAATCTGACCTCATTTTACTAACACCTGCATTTACATGGATGATAAAATGCTAGAGATCCTAAAGCCAAAGTGTTTGTAATGCATGGTGATGTGCATTCATTTTGTTTTAAGTACTTCAGCTGACCATATGGTAAGCATTCTATGTTTTCATCTTGCAAGATGCAATTCTTAAAAGCAACAAACACAGATATTAGGTTAAATACAGCTAATCACTACAAATAAGTTTTCTACTATATAAAATATATTCTACTTTGATCCAAAATCAACAACATTTTAAAACTCTACCATGTAACTGATTGTGCTTTATGTTATGGGCTGAACTGTGTCCCCCCATATTCATATGTTGAAGCCCTAACCCTCGTACCTTGGAATGTGACTGTTTTTGCAGATAGGATTTTTATAGAGGTTAATTAACTTAAAATGAGGTTACATGGATGGACCCTAATCCAATCTGACTGTTTTTTTTTTTTTTTCTAAAAAAAAAAAGAAGAAATGAGGACACGAAACACACAGGAAAGACCCCGTGGAGATACAGGGAGATGACCATCTATAAGCTGAGCTTTAGAAAGGCCTCAGAAGAAACCAACCCTGCTGACCCCTCGATTTCAGACTTCCAGCTTCCAGAATATGAGAAAATGATTATCTGTTGTTTAAGCCAGACCAGCTGGTAGTATTTTGTAATGGCAGTCCTAGAAAATTAATCCTTATGACAGTCTTTTTTGGAACAGTAATGTATAGTGAGGGGGAGGAGAAAGGAGATCAGTTTTTTAAGACTGTTGCCTATGAGACACTACATCTCAAAGAAATTATTCTGAGAAACCCACTACCATGTGGGCTGGAAAGGTGAAACCAATTCTGATGGATACAAACCTATACAGTTTCTGGGTCCAGCAGAGAAGGGCACGTATGCATATGGATGGCGTCCTTGCAAATTCTCAGGAAAGAACCGCTCGGGCTGGAACTCCTCAGGATTTGGGAAGTATCTTGGATCTCTATGCAGTGCATAGGGAACGATGATGGCTTGAGAGCCTTGCACAATTTTGTAACCCCCTGTCAAGAGGTAGGCAATATGTCGTAAGAATGGAGTAAGATGGACATTAAAAAATCCATTCTCCCTACTCTCCTGATTACAGAGTTCTTACCAACTTCACAATCTTCAGTAAGATTACGGGCAAACAAAGGAACAGGAGGAAAAAGGCGAAGGCTCTCCTTAATGACACATTCCAAGTATTTGAGTTTCTTCAGGTCCTCTAAGGAAGCAGGATGATCAGACTTCCCTGGTTAAAGGAAATACATGAGATGACAATGAAAGAACTCTACGGGCTTGGGGAATGGGACATCAAGGAGGAATTAATCAAAGCACCAAATGTTAAATACCTACAGCCAAAGTAGGATTTCTAATATTATACCTGATAAAATGAGACGCATTAAGTAAAAGAAACCAGACAAAAAAGGTCATGCATAGTATGATTCCATTCATAGGAAGTTCTCAGAACAGGTAAATCCATAGAGACAGAGAGTAAATTATTGGTTGCTGGGGGCTGGAGGAAGAGGGAATGGGGTATGGCTGATTAACAGTACAGGGTTACCTTTCGGGGTACTGAAAATGTCTTGGAATTAGATGGAGTAATGGTTGTACAACATTGTGAATGTACTAAATCATACACTTTAAAATGGTTAATTTTGAGTTGTCAGAGCTTCCAGATGTGCATCTTCTCTTGGGTCAGATTCTTGGACTCTCCCCCCAACATGGCCCCTAAATGCTTTTTGTTCCTGCATCAAACAAAGACACTAAGATTGCCTCCTGCCTCCAGGCCAGAGGAGACATCAACCTCTCCCTCTCTGGATGTGCCACAGGAAGGAAAAGAATAGCAAGGAGCAACTGAACATACTGATGAAGTACAAAATGAAATAGATGGACTTAAGGAAAAAACCAGTGAAGAATTTTGAAGGGATAACAGAAGTATAACAAACCACCCCAACTGTGTTTTCAAAGGAGGTTGGAATTGATCACCTAAATCCCAAATTCTGGGGTAACAGCATCTGTCAGCCACCCACAAATCTGCCATTACTTGGAGAGGAAGATGAAGAGGCACTGTATTATCTGACCAGAGTCAAAGTGACCGAATTTGAAGATATTAAATCAGGTTATAGAATAGATATTCATTTTGATAAAAAAACCCTTCCTTCAAAAATAAATTTCTCTCCAAAGAATTTCATCTGGATGAGAATGTGATCCATCTTCAAAGCCTACTGAAATCAAATGGAAATTGAAAGGATTTGATGAGATGCTCAAGTCAAATGCAAAATAAAGCCAGCAGGAAGAGGGAGCATGAGGAACCAGAGAGCTTCTTTCTCTGGTTTACTGACCATTCTTAGTCAGGTACAGATGAGTTAGGAGAGGACATCCAAGATGGTATTTGGCCAAATCCATGACAGTACCACTTAGTTCCTGACATGGATGATGAAGAAGGGGATGGAGGAGGAGGAGAATATACTAATGAAGAGGGGAATGAGAATGAAGGAGAAGATGAGGAAGTAGGGGAGGGAGGAAAAGAGGGTGGAGGAGATGACAAATGGAAGACTGATGGATTCCAATCTTCTTGTTTTAATTTTCTCCAGTCCCCTTGTGCTCAGTCATGCTGTTCTTGAAATCTCTCTTCTCTCCTTTACACCATGGTTCTCAACTTATTTGGGGGCAGGGTGGGGTGGGCAATACCTTGAGCACAATACACTGGGAAGAGAAACTCTACCCTTTCCTATTCCAATTCATTTTTATCCCTTTCTGTCTCAACCAAAACTTCATATAAACAACACTATTGTGCTCTGTGGGGGACCAAAAAAACTAAAACAAAACAAAACAAAAACAAAAAAACAACCCTTCTGCTCCCTTAGCTCTGCTAGAAGCTGGGGAGTGCTTGGTCCCCATGTGGTAGTGCACAGAATTCTAGCTCTTCTCCTTTTCCTCAATATTGGGCTCAGAGATTACACTGTGTCTTTACGTGAATATGGACAGTTAGCATTTACCAATATGTATCTGTCTACTTTCTCGTGCTTTTATTTATTTATTTTTAAATGGGTTTCTAGAAGATCAGGGAAGGGTGGGTTAGAGATGCTTAGGCAGGTAAAGTGGGCATCTTGACAACATGATTTCTCCTTTGGCATGTTTAATTGTGTTGTTTAATGGGCATCCTTGCAGTTTAGGATGACACTTTAGAAATAAAATTCTCTCCTCAGGACTTGAGCCCTACCACTCAATGGGAGACACAGCAAGCCTGTAAGACCTTATCTGGAATTGACATTCTCTATTGTAATTATTTTCCTGTTTATTTTAAAATTTTCTTTTTGTTTCACTGGGGGGAAAAGGATGATCAGTTACAAGTTGCTTTGTTACAACTAAACATACACAAATAAATGGTTAATTTTATGTGTAACAAGAGGAATTAATACTTGCAACTCAATGTCCAAAGATTAGTTGCTCATGAAATTTTAGAGCTAATACTGGGGATAGAAGAAAAAGTGAGGCACCATACCATCAAAGAAAACATGAGGAGGAGCAGAATAAAGCATCTAGAATAATGGTGTTTTAATGATGTGAGATCAAAAAGTATTTTTGAGACCAGCAATGAGCTACACATTGTAGAGGATACAAAATGTGAACGTATCCCAAAATAATGTGTGAGCTTTTCAAAGACCAAATTAATTCACCATAGGCAATATGAGAGAAATTAAAATCAATACAGAAAAAAAATGACTATAGAAACAGAGCCAATAAGTTTAGATTGTCTCCATTCCACAAAATAAAGTCTTCCCTCTTGATATGAAATTCTAGTCCTCACATCACATGAACACTTGTCCAACCTCAACACATAAACTACTTGTCCAACCTCATCTTTCAATACGTTCTGCTATATGTTCTAAATTCTAGCTGCCGCTCACTATTTACTACTGTCCTCCAAACGTTTCCACTTCTGTGTCATTGTTCATCTGTTCTCCTCATTCTAGAATGCCTGCCCTCTCCTCCTTTTATCTTCATTTTTCCTTTCTTAGTTCTTTTCTCAATGCAACTGCATCAGATACACTTTGTTGGTTGGCTGACCCAATCTTTCATTTTCTCCTCCCAGCTTTGGGAGCCATGTGATGTGTGATTAAACAAAGGATAAAAGTGATGGCACAATGTGTGGCCCCTTGTGGTCGGCTGACGATGGCCCCTACATGTCTCACGTACTAATCCCTGGGACCTGTAAATGTTCCCTTATTTGGGAAAAGGGTGTCTTTGCAGATTTGATTCAGTTAATGATCTAAAAATGGGGAGATTATCCTGGATTATACAGGTGGGCTCTGAATGTCATCACAAATGTCTTTATAAGAGAGGAAGAGAGCTCTCGCTCTCTCTCTCTCTCTCTCACACACACACGCACACACACACAGAGAGAGAAGAGAAGGTGCTGTGAATAGAGGCAGAGATTTGAGTGATGGACCATAAACCAAGGAATGCTGGCAGGCACCAGAAGTGAGAAAGAACAGATTTCCCCTAGGCTTCCGGAAGGAGAACAACCTGTCAGCACATTGATTTAGGCTCAGCAATAATGATTTTGGATTTCTGGTGTTCAGAACTGTGAAAGAATACATATCTGTTGTTTTAAGCCACCCAGTTTATAGAATTTGTTATAGCAGCCCCAGGAAACTAATACATCCTTCATTCCCCCTTCCCCTTTCCTCTTGTCTTGAAGACAAACATGAGACCTAGAACAACAATCAAGAAGACAAAAGCCAGAATGGTGAAGAACAGAGAGAAAAAAGAGCAAGACTGGGCCTCTGATGACATCCCTATTGACTGCAGCCTAGGACTCCCTACCTACAGTCCTATACCTTGTATAACTAGCTATATAACCAGCAGATTGCTGGTTGTATAATAGAAATTTATGTCCACCAGCAGACCCCACCTCTCCTCCCATTTGTGGCCAGATGCAATCCAATATGGAACAGCTTTCCTGGACGCCCTCTAACTAACATCACCTGTTCCTCGCTGCTCCCAAAGAGCACCTTCTCCATGTCACTCCAGTGCATAGCCAGGACTGCATGCTTCATGCACAATGGCTGGCTCACCTACTAAGCAGTGAGGTCCTTGGAGATACAGCATTTATTTGTGCAACCCCAGCATCTGGCCCAATGCAGTCACATGCCAGGCAGGTAGCAAATGCCTGGAGGTGAGCAGAAGAGGCCTCGCAAAGGCTCCAGTACTGGAAGGGGTCCTATATGGGAGCTTTCCTGCTTATGACAGTGTCTCTACAACAGGTCCTACTGCACATCCTCGAGGAGCATGAATGGCGTTGGTTTCAGTGGACTTGGGACCCATGGGGCAGCTAATGATGGGGCCAAACATACCAAACACTTCTTCCAGTTCCCTGTCCACTCGTTTCTGGGCTTCTGGGTGAGAACCCAATAGATACAAGGACCAGTTTATTGCTGCTGCTGTCGTATCATGGCCCTGCGGATGTGAGAAGAGACATGGCTTAAGAAGCAGAGCGGTATCGAAAAGGTCACGAATGATGGCTCTGTTTTGAACTGTCTCTGGCTTTGACAGCTGCAGTGTGACTCCAGAACATAACAAATTAATTGCCCACAGCACCTCACCTTGGTGAGAAGCAAACATGTAAAATAATCCCTTCAAGGGGGAGGATCATGCTTAGAGAGACATTTCACCACTACATGGAGCTTTCTACTTGGTGAGAAGTGGCTCAGCTATGCCAATAAAGGGGCATTCCAAGGAACAGGCGCACCGGGCAGCTTTAAAGGGGGAAAAGGCCAGGGGCGCCTGGGTGGCTCAGCTGGTGAAGCGGCTGCCTTCGGCTCAGGTTGTGATCCTGGGGTCCTGGGATCGGGGCCCGCATCGGGCTCCCTGCTCGGCGGGGAGTCTGCTTCTCCCTCTGCCTGCCACCCCGTGCTCGTGCTTTCTTTCAAATAAATAAATAAAATCTTAAAAAAAAGAAAAGGCGGGAAAAGTCTGCTTTTTGTGAGCCAGCTTGCCAGATCTGTACTTCTCTACTTTCCCCTCCTTTGCAAGGTAGGCTTTACCTGTCGATGCTGGACACCAGGGAGTATATATGCAGTTCTGAGCATTCTCCACAGCAAGAAGTTGATAAATATCTTCATTTTAATATGTGCTGAGTTCTAGGCAAAACACTAAGTACTTTGGCAGAAACTAACACAATTGTTCTTCACAAAAACTTCACGAAACACTTGATACTGTTATTCACATTTCTGAGATCAAATACTGAGGCTGAACGTCCTATTTCATTTTGTCTGCTACCCAGAGAAAGCTGGATGAAGCAAAACAAAGCACGGACTTTACAGGAGCGCACCACTGGGCTAGGGCAGGGGCAGAAACCTGCATATCTAGTGGCTGGCAGCCAGGCAATGAAAGGCAGGGCACATCCACCTTAGGGAGGAGGTCTCACTATTACAGTCGGGGGCATGCCTCCTATTCAATGCAAAGAAAAAAACCTCAGGATTTCAAAGAATGTTAAAACTGGAAGAAAGAGATCATTCACTGGTCTGGTTGTTTTCATGAGTGTGAGAGGTCACCGGTGGGAGATGGATGTGTGTGTGCCATATACATGAATGTATGTGTCCGTAGAGGTGCATGGATGACAGTGTATGTGTGTATGTGTCCGTGTGTGTGTATGCACACGTGTGTGTGTGTGTGTGTGTGTGTGTATACAGGGTGGAGATGTGAGAAGGTCTCTCCCCTTCAACACTGAATAACAGCCAATATCTGCTACATACTTCCTACGTGTCAGGCACGATTCTCAGGACATTTTACTTTTTTTTTTTTTTTTTTTAATTTGACAGAGAGAGAGCCAGAGAGCACAAGTGGGGGAAACACTAGAGGGAGCCGGAGAAGCAGGCTTCCTGCAGAGCAGGGAGCCCGATGTGGGACTCGATCCCAGGACCCTGGGATCATGACCCGAGCTGAAGGCAGCTGTTTAACCGACTGAGCCACCCAGGTGTCCCTCTCAGGACACTTTAAAAATTATTAATCTAATCAGTGAGGCCTGTTGTCTGACAATGAGGACGCTGAAGCCCAGAAAGGCTGGATGAGGTGCCCAAGGTCACACCTCCAGGACAAGGTATGGCTGGGACTTGGCCCCAGAGCCCACATGCTGAACCCCTCTCCACTTTTTAACTAAGTAGATGTCCATTTTCTGATTTTCTGCATAACATTTCTTTTCAATAAAGTGCTCTGCTTAAAAAAGAAGTTTGAAATCACTGATCTAGGCCATCTCTCTATTTTACACAGGAAAGCTGTGACAGAGATCGGGGATGACTGAAAGCATCTCATATGGCCAGTATGAACCAGGAGGAGAACCCAAGTGGACAGACGCTCAACACCGCCCGCTTTCCGCTCCAGCACGCAGACTGTCCTCCCTCAGGAAGATCGGACAGACGAGCGCTAGCATCACATCCAGACGGCTCTAGGCGGAGCAGGTAACACACCACTGAGCATAAGCTGAGCCGTCGAAAACCACTGATGCCTTTTGCTTTCCTCCACTTCCAAAATACTACCACGTGGTGCTTAAAAAAACCATTTCTTTACTTGGCAATCCACACATTGAGAGACTCACTCCTTGTAGTATTTAATACGGTTAATTAGAATTATCTCTGTAAAAACTGCATCTTTTATTATTGCTATTATTATTTGAAGATCAGAAATCTTTTTAGATTTACAAACTGGTTAAATTCTCTACGGGAGGGCTCTTGCTTTCTTCTTTAGTTAGGGCAGCTCAGAGCAGTAGCTAAGTACTCATTGGTAGAGGCAGGAAGAAAACAGGCTTCTTTAAAAGAAGCTAGTGAAGGAAGAGACTCATGGGTTTTAGAGATTAAAAGGAAGCCCGAAGCGATATAGAGACTGACAGTAATTTCTGGCTGCTCTTCTGCTTAGAAAAGCCTGACAGACCTTAGGTTTTCTTGAGGGAAAAAAAAAAAACGTGTCTACACTGTACCCACCATGAATCAAAGATTTTCTGAACAAGGAAATTGTTCTGATACTTAATTAGGTTCTTAAATTTTATAATCTTTAATGCTAATCTAATGACTCTTCCTTAGTTATATTAAGCTACTTTAAAATTTCATTAGGGGCACCTGGGTGGCGCAGTCGGTTAAGCGTCCAACTCTTGGTTTTGGCTCAGGTCATGATCTCAGGCTGTGGGATGGAAAACCACATGGGGCTCCGTGCTCAGTGGGGAGTCTGCTTGGGATTCTCTCTCTCCCTCTGCCCCTCCCCCCTCTCTAAAATAAATAAATCTTTAAAATAAATAAATAAAATTTCATTAAACTTAAAAAATAATATTAAAGGTTCTAAAAAATAACTGAGGTTTAGTTAGTGATACCTGAAAATAACATGATGACATAGAATACCTCAAACATGAAGGTGTCAACTTCTTCTCGAATATCTTCATGACTTAGCTTGTTCCCTTCATCATCAGTCACATTTAAAAGCAAGTCAAGAAAAGCCCTGTGTTTAGTTTTGAAGGGGGAAGAGTCCTTGTCAGCACTTCCGTGTTCTTCTCTCTTCATTTCATTGGCCCGTTCAGCGATGACCTATGATTTAACAATGACATGTTTTGTCTGCAATTTATTATAACCTAAAAATACACTTTCCTATGAAAATATACTAGCTTCTTTAGCTTATTTTTTCTAAACCTTTCCTATCCTTGCTATCACAACAATAACTTAGGCTCTTGTAAAAGTATAGTCAAGTTTCCTGTTCAATTTTAGGGCATTATTTTTTTTTTTTAAGATTTTATTTACTTATTTGACAGAGAGAGAGAGAGACAGCTAGAGGGAACACAAGCAGGGGGAGTGGAAGAGAGAGAAGCAGGCTTCCCGCTGAGCAGGGAGCCTGATGCGGCACTCGATCCCAGGACCCTGAGATCATGACTTGAGCCGAAGGCAGACGCTTAACAACTGAGCCACCCAGGCGCCCCTATTTTAGGGCATTATTTGATAAGACTTCTAAAAATGAATTTAATGTCAGGCAACTTCAGAATTTTCAAGTGCTATTTTTACAGTCTTTCCAATGGGGTATAGCATAATCATCTCTAAAAGTATTGGTGCTGGAGAGAATGCAATCCTTATAGAGTAGACTACACATCGCTCAATTACATGTCGTATTGGAAAAAAGAAATAGCAAGTTGCCGGTCAGTTCACCTGTTTGCTTGCTGTTCCTTCTGGTGAGACTACTCCTTCCTCCTTCCTCCTTCCTCCGCAGGGCTGGCTCCCTCCTTTCTTTCAAATCTCTGCTCATTGTCACACTATCAGAAAGACCTTCCCTGATGCCTGCGATGCTAGTCCCTAGCACTATCTTTCCAAGCCTGCTTTATTTTTTCCCATTTCCCTTGCCATCTGGCATGATGTTATACTTCCTATTTTGTGCCCTTCTCCTCTAAGTCAAATGTATGACCCACATGGTAGCAAATTTGTCTTTGTTCATTGATATATTTCCAACCTCTAGAGCACTGCCTGGCATTTTGAGAACGCTCATTATTTGCTGAATGAATGAAAGCATTAAAGCCCATCAACTCAACTTTTTTTTCTCCTATTAGGCAATTGACCAAACCTGCTACTAAATGGTTTGAATGAATAGACCCTAAGTTCTTTGAGCGCAAGATCTCCTGATGGAACCCCTGGTGCCTCGCATTCAGTATGCAATTTTCAATACTTATTAAATGAATAATACTGTTCATCCAGTTTGAAATTCATTAATTATTGATATTGATATTAATGCATGAAAACTGAGGAAGAACTCAATTATACCCATAAAATACAAACTGTTGGCAAGTCTCCTAAGCCAGGTGATTGCTCTAGATTCATCTTTAACACAGACTGACATCCTATATCCAAAACAACATCACTATCTCTTTGTTATCATTGAACTGGACATAAAATAGTAATATCCAGTTAATTTTAATTTCTTCCAAGTTGAAATACTAGTATAAAGGCCCCTTGCCTTTGAAAACTACTGTCTTTCCATACGTTTTCCATAAGACCCTTATAATCCTCATCTTTTTATTCTCTTAATACAGCACCCTGTTTGTTAATAAATATTCACAGTTCGTATTGCATTTTGTCATTTTTTAATAGATAACCTCCTTTACTAAACAAACCTTTTTAGAGTAGGGAACATAGATGTCCTACTCATTACTATATTTCTAACATTTGATAGTGCATTTGCCACTTAACAAGTGCTTAATTAATATTTACTAAATACGTAATTGAAATGTAATCATGTTGCCTACTTTTTTCCGTTATTCAATTCAAATTTTATGAGGCACGGGCTTCATGGTCCTACACCGGGTATATTCACAAAACATAAAAGTCATGGATTTAAAAAAGTTCTGGAAATGGATAGTGGTGATGGCTGCATAGCATTGTGAATGTATTTAATGCCACCAAGTTGGACATTTAAAATGGCTATAATGGCAAATTTTTATATTAGGTATATTTTACCACAATACAAAAATAAACTGAGGACTTACATTATTGGTAAAATTATGTAGGATCTCTAGGCTCCTTTTGTGTTCCCGTCCTTCTTTAAGCATAAGAAACAAAAAATCAAGCCAGAGCCAGGGCATCTTCATTCTCTGATGTATCACATCACTCATTCTATACATAGGAAAAATACATTAGCTGATACATGGGGGAAAATGTATTTCTTTAGCACCTATTTGGTGCCTGCTCTCAACAAGGGTAATATATGGAAATGAGGATGATTTGTCTTAGAGGCTACTAAGAGACCCGTGTTTTATGCTCAACAATGAATGCATGGGCTTTTACATATCCAATGAAGCTTACAATTTTAATGGTTTCATTAGCAGAAGGAAGAATTCATTATAGAACATCCTTACTAGATGGCCATCTGATGTGTGCTTCTGTTTCTTCAGAAAGAGTTCTTGACCTCCCAAGGCTGCTGTGGCTCTTGGATCACATGTTGGGATGATATCTGCCTCTTTTTAATATCCACTCATTAGCTTGATCACTCCTCTGGAGTGACAGAATACAAGTGGTTGCCCTCTTCCAAAAAGAAGTGCTCGTCAGATACCCATTGGTCACACAGCTGTCCTGAGTACCTCCCTTGTCATTTCCAGTGATAAAGAAGTAAGACCTCAATAGATCCCCCTTCTTTGAGACTGGCTTAGACACTTTTAGACAGTTCTTCAAAGATACGTTTCCTGACCACTCATCCATAGGACGTGTCCCTGTTTTCCTTTTTCTTTTCTTTCTTTTCCTTTCCTTTTCTCTTTCTCTTCTTTCTTTCTCTCTTTCTTTCTTTCTCAAGAGAGAAAGAGAGACAAAGCTCAAGCAGAGGGGCAGAGGGAGAGAGAGAATCCCAAGTAGGCTCCACGCTCAACACAGAGCCCCACGAGGGGCTTGATCTCACAACCCTGAGATCATGACCTGAGCCAAAATGAAGAGTTGGACACTTAATGGACTGAGCCATCTAGGTGCCACCCCGTTTTCCTTCTAATGTCAACTTGATCTTTTCTTTCTAAGCAATTATTAGAATTTATGTTTGCGTTCGTTTGTTTCCATGTGTGTCTCCCTGCTATTCTTCCTGTTTGTGTGTTGCTATAAAACTACTCAGCACCTAAGGCCATGAGTGGCAGGTGACAGATGCTCAGTAAATACTTATAAAAATAAAATGAAATGAACAGTGAACTTAAAGATAGGAAACATTAATTCAAATCCTGGCCCTGACTCTTAATAGTTGAATACTTGCAAGCCATTTTTTTTTTTTTAAGATTTTATTTATTGAGAGAGAGAATGAGAGAGAGCATGAGTGGGGGAGGGTCAGAGGGAGAAGCAGACTCCCCGCCGAGCAGGGAGCCCGATGCGGGACTCGATCCCGGGACTCCAGGATCATGACCTGAGCTGAAGGCAGCTGCCCAACCAACTGAGCCACCCAGGCGCCCCCGCAAGCCATTTTTAAAGTAAAATTGATTATTTCAATTAAAAAATAATACATAGTCAGAGCAGAAACTATGGGAAAGGAGAATGAACAACAACAAAAACAGAACAGTATAAGAAAGAGAAGCACACACACAAAACAATAATAACCATAGCTAAGATTTTGGTATAGTATCTTCTAGTTTTTTCTTTCTATAAATAATTTTTATACCTAGTGGTAATCATACTAAAAAACTCATTTTATCTTTATCACTTAGCATCATAATATAATCTTTCAATATATTACAAAATAATCATTTTAAATTATGGCATAATCTGGGTGTGTCATGATTTACAAAACCATTCCACTACTGGCCAAATACATACTTAAATGACTACGTCCATTTCAGTATAAAGTTTCATTTTGAAACAATGAAAAAGATACTCACAAATTATTAGTTATAATTTTTTAAGCCCTAATCAGGAACCATTTTAAAGATAATTAAAAGGACTTCACTTACTTATAAACTGCATGGACATATTTGGAATCATCATTACTCTGAGCACCAATATTCTTCCCCATAGCTGTTTCTGCAAAACACAGGCAAGAAGCAACCATTCAGTTCGAGCACATATCCTCTGTTTATTTTCCAATCGCAAACACTTAAAAAAAAAGATATAAGTCCTGTTCTTGTCCTCAGAGATTTTAAAATTGTTCTCTCCCCCTTTTGCTTCTTCTCCTATATCTTCTACTCCCCGTTCCTGCTCCTTCTTCCCTCTGCCTTCCCAGGCATGTTGGCTCTGTGACTGTTTTGCTCAAAGCCCTCCCAGGGGCTGCTGCTTCCCAGAGGGCCGAGCAATAAGACCACCCTGAAAAACCCAGTATCCCTTCAAGATCCCCTCGGTCACCTTCCCACTGGAATATTATTTTCTGTTTGGGCCATCCTATCTCTACACCGTAACTTTAGGAACAAGTCAATGAAACTTACCACAAATTATATCTAAGGTACAAAGAGTGATGTAAAAAAAGCAGTTAAATGCTTCTTGGTTAACATGTTTTTCAAGCTTATTAACCAATATATTTGCTTGTTTATTCATGATATCTAAGAAATCTTCCAGAATTGTAAAATGGAAAGTAGGTGTTAACATTTTTCTCCTAGATCGCCACTTGCTTCCAGTACTAGAAACAAAATACATGGTTACAAACAAGAGAAGCTACATCAGAAACAAAGTATAAATTTAGCCAAGTCAACAAAACTCTCCTCAAAGAGCTTAATCTATAGATTCTCAAATGCTTTGGTCAGAATGACAAAGATTCATATAGATAGCTACAGAATGTGGATAGTTTAGATATTATTCTATGCTACTAAAATTTAAAGGGGCACTCATAAAAATTGAAAAATTTAAGAATTTTTCTAAATTTCCAAGCTCCGAGTTTCTAAAATTTATTTTTTCTCCCCTCTATTAAAACCTCAGTCCTCAGATGATCCCTATGGTCTATGATTCTACTTTGATCTCTACTATCTTCATATTCTCCACAGACCCCACAAGGGTCCTGCCTTTTTCTTGGCAGGCCCTCTCTCAGAGGATGGAGTCCTATTTCCGGACTGAGATTTTGTGCTCCATATACTTTGCTGGAGATGACTGCCTTTTCCACTAGATTTTCAAGATCTGCCTGCCCCAAGTTCTTCTTTGCTTTACTCCATTCATACATCAGGACCTGACTCTTCTTGAAACACTGGTCATCATCATTATTGAGTCCCGTGGCTGTAGATGACCATACACCCTGGACTCCTCTCTGTCAGAGCCCATTGTTCTCCAGACCTTTCCTTCCAGCTTTCTCCCCCACTTCCTGGTAGCACAGTCTTGCAGACAGGAGAACTACTTCGTGGCCATTCCTGACATAACACGTTACCTATTGAAGTAACTGTTTCTATGAGACAGCTTTACAAATCTACACTGACTTACCTTGTAAGAAGTCCCAGGCCAAGCCATGGTACCAGGAACTTGTACATATAGGATTTGTCAATTTGACTTGAACTAGTTAAAATTACCTTGGAAAGAGAAAAAAAATTGAGAGATATATAGACATCAAAACAATTTCAACTCTTAAGTTGAATTCTACCTGGCTAGACCACTGCTTTTTAAAGGAACATCTTATAAGTATTATTTCTCTGTGATTCATTTTTATTCCTGTGCCTTAAAGAAAGTCAGGTAGAGTTTTGAACATATAACTGTCATTCAGTCTTGGGAATAAATGGAGTTGAGAAAAAGGAAAATGTCTAAGGTGATGCCCTGGATCCTACCATGAACTAGGAACCAAGTGGAGTCATTTATTGAGGGTAGGAGGATAGGAGAGAGAAGATAAATGAATCCAAGGATGACCATGTCCAGGGAGATAAAAATCACAAGTTCATTTTTGGGCATACTGACTTGGAGACATTCAAGTTGCTATGGTCTGAAACAGGAATGATGCTCAGGATAAAGACTTGACCTAGAAGTACACATTTGAGTATCTCCAGCATGTGAGTAACACTGAAAGCCATGAATGTGATCAGATCACCTAGAATCCAAGTGGAGTAGAAGGGATGAGTATTTAGGTCTGAGCACAAAATGCTCCCCAGGCTCCTCACTCCAGTCCTGCACTCTGGACAGATCTCTCACACACACCAGACCTGCTCATACCAAGTCAGCAGTGGCTGAAATCCTACACCTGTCTCCTCACTGTCTATTCTGAACCAGGCTGCTACAGTGTGGTACCAGAGAAATTCAACATTTTCACTGCAATAACTAAGAAAGACATATCCCAGCATTATTGCCTAGGAAGTTATGTTTAATTTTGTTCCAAGAAGCTCTGTTTATCCCATTCTTACTCCCTGACCCAAATCCTTTTCTCATCAAACCACAAGATAATCTCCCTGGTGTCATAATGTTAAGTAAAAGGTATACAATCTTTCTGAGCAGTTATCTCAACAGCATGGATTAATGATATCTACCCTATCGATATCAGGGGAGAATTCTTTTTTAAGAAAATTACCTTGGAATAATAAATTTGTAACAGATCTGAGACTCTGATCACCTTAAGAAAAACACTCATACTTTGTTAGTCTTACATTTTTGGACTCCTGAAACAGTGCCTGGCAGATAACATGTGTGCTCACCTTACAGAATAATCTATTTATGGTTCTACAAAACTATATCCTTATGCAGATTTTCAAAAAAAAAAAAAAAAAAAAGGAGAACAGATATCTTGGACCTGATAACAAATGTGTCCAGAGGCTGCTTTGTCCAGAGGCTGCTACCCTCCCCAGGATTTAGACGATATCTGGAAAGCATTAAATGGCACCCACATAGCCAAAAATACGTAATGAAATGCTGAATATACTGAATTCAATTAAATATAAGAACATTGTTGCTGTATTTATTCTGATGAGACTCTCACACCATCAGACATGCAGTGGAATAGTGGTCATATTGACCGCACACTCACCTCCACGCTTTCTGCATTATAAATGGCTATTACCGGTATGGGCCCAAGCCAGAGTTTCAGGAGTGGCTGGTGTCGGTATTCTTCGCTGTAATAAATGACCTGCTGAAAAAATTCTGGGAGAAAATATTTAATTTTCAAAGAGTTTCTTGTCGTGTCTTTTGAGTTGTTTTTTTGTTTTGTTTTTTGTTTACTTATTTACTTTGGGCAAGTCACTTAATATTTCCCACGTCTCTCACATCTTCAAGGTAAACCACACAGTCCCTATTTAATGACATGATTGAATGGCGAGGGTAATTTAATTGTGAGGAAGATAACATCCAAGGAACATGCACCTCCAAAGGACCCAATCCCTACTCTCAAGGATCTTCTAACCATGGAAGATGGCGACTTTTGTAACACCAGAGAAAATGAAATGGTTGCTAAAAGACAAGTTCTAGTCTGAGGAGTTCTTGATTCTCATTGAGAGGGCTGAAAAAAATTTCATGAAGGAGATGGCATTTGAGCATTAAAAAATGAGTTTTATTTTTATAGGCAGAAAAGGGGAAACAGGGGCTTACAGAATGTAAGCCAAGCAGCAGAAACAGCAGAGCAGAAGCATGGAGGTCTGGAAATTCCCCAAAGGTGCAGCCAAAGCATAAGATGGGGTGATACCATTGGAACAGGAGGTTGGAGCGTTGGAGGCTTTGATTTTCTTTTATACACTGTAAGGAGTAATTGGAAGTTTCTGATGAGGACTAGCATGACTGGAGTCATATTTTAGGACAAGAGCACTAATGTGGTGAGATCACCTGGGTATACTGAGGCCACTGGGGGTGGGGAAAAGGCTGGGATTCAATGCTGCCAGGGTTAGGGGCATTGGCTGTGTGATATGGCAGGCCCTTGCTTCAGGTGTGGGGAAATGATGACCATCAATCCCAACCGCAGCATCAAAGGAGTGTGGAAAACTTGGGAGTCAACACTTTTCCATCAGGCCCCCCTCTGGAGAATGCAGTATGGCATTATGAGAGATCAAGCCATGACAAAACTCTCCGTGAGGAAATGCCATATTGATGAATGTCATCTGGGTAGGAACAAAGGACAGTAGCCAGTGAATAAAGAATTAATATACAGGGTTCAGACCTCAGAGAAAAGACATGGCAAAGGTTAGACATGCTTTCAGAACACAAGTCGAACAAGATGAAGTTAAGGGAGGATTTGAGTCCTAGCTGGGGAGTTGATTACATGTCAGGAAATGGGGCAGAAATTGCTGGGAAAATCTAGGTAGGGAGGGGTGGGGAGGGGCAGGCTAGTTGGTAGGCATATGGGAATTCAGGGCTTCTTCTGGACAAAGGGAATGCCTGATTAACAACAGCAAGGCTAATTCCAACCCCACTGTGAGACTACTAATACAGTACTTAAGATTTTTGACAGAGCTATTTTGACATAGATATTTGGGCACCAAGGACAAATGGACATGGCATAAAAAATGAACCATTCAACTTTTCAGCTCGTTTTCAATGCCAATATGTGTACATGCTTAGCCCATCTCTGCTCCTCATTCATCAGTAAGCTTCAGGGCAGGCTGCACAAAATACAGGAGGAGAGGAGCTAAGGCTCACAGATGTCCATCGCGTATGATGCTAAATAAACACTGATTTTTTTTTTAAAGTGCATATTTCGGCACATCAAAACCTGGTAATAATCATCCTAAAATAGCTAACATCCATTATGTCATGTTCATTTACTGCAGCAAGTTATTATACGTCAGAGCTCGTGTTAAGGTTCTTGGTACATGGTCTTTTATGCCTCACCATAGTTAGAGGAAAGTCACTATTATTACTGTCCCAGTTGAGGAAACTGTGCACAGCTAACTTGCCCAATATCACAGAGCTAGTAAATGACAGAATCTGCCTTTGTACTTAAGGCAGTTAAGATCCTACAATGTGCTATCTTAACCATTACATGCTATTGCTTCAAAATGTCTCCTGGTCCAAACAGTTGTCAAAGTTTCTATGAAAAGAGCTGGGTCAAATCAACAGTGTCAAAATACCACGCTTTGTGATAATCACCGCCTGCCTTGGTCTGATCTGACAGAGGAGACAGGAAAGTGTGAGCCCGTGGTTTGAAGGTATCGGGTCCAATATCAGAGAACAGTTGGAAAAGGCAGGTGTTGACATAATGGACTAAAAAGCAAGAGATTGGTTTGAAAGGCCAATGAAAAGTCAACTGCAGAACTCCAGGTGAGATTATTGAGACCAGAATTTGGACAGTGGCCACAAATCAAAAGCACAGCCTCCTGCCCAAGAGTCAAGGTCACTGAGAACAGGGAATATATCTTAGAATAATCCAACATCAACCACTTTGTTTAGCTCAATGTTGGGTACAAGGCAGGGCTCCATGTTTGATTGAAAATTAAGGAACTTACTCTAACCAAGTTCTAGACAGTGGTCTAGAAACACCATGCATTAAATTTACTCCTTAAAATAACTCTGTCATACAATTACTTTTACAAGTAAAGGGTTTAAAAAAAAAACCCTCTAACTTAGCTTTCATGTTTGCCTTATATATTTTGGTGCTCGTCTGTTAGGTGTATATATATTTACAAATGCTATATCTTCTTGTTGGATTGACCCCTTTATCATTATGGAATGCCCTCTTGGTTTTTTTAATCTTTGTCTTAAAGTCTATTTTGCCTGGTACAAGTATAGCTTCCCAGCTTTCTCTTGGTTTCCATTTGCATGAAACATCTTTTTTCTACCACTTCATGTTCGGTCTGTGTGTGTCCTTGTGTCTAAAGTGAGTCTTTCATATGCAGCATATAGATAGGTCTTGTTTTTCTATCCATTCAGCCACACCATGTCTTTTGATTGGAGAACTCAGTCCATTTACATTTAATTATTGATATTGCCATTCTGTTCAGTGTTTTCTGGCTGTTGTTGTAGTTCTTCTCTGTTCCTTTTTCTTCTCTTGCTCTCTTCCTTTTAGAGAGTTTGAAACAACTTCTCAAATTTAGAGTGAGCAGAGCTTTGCCTGATGCCAAAATCCAGTACTTGCTGGATTAAAAAGTCCCTTTGTAAAAGCCAGTATATTGTCATTCTCTTCACCCAGAAAGTAACTCCAGGGAGAATTATTTTAAATATTCCAGTCAACTCACCGTATATTTTGAAACAGGTCTCATTCACTGGAGATTTCAATTCTTAAAAAAATTTCCCAAAAGAATATGATGAGATTTTTTAAAGCATGTTATTTCTTTTTGGGGGTGGGAGATTAATATATGTACACAATTATTTTTTTAATGCTATAAGGCCTCAGGGTAGAAGGAGAGGTTAGCTCTGGTTTTAGTATTAACTAAGATAATTTTTACAAACATGGTTTTCATATATCTAAATGCATTATTGGATCATTTGTAACATTAGTCACATTGATGTTTAGGTGATGAAAAGTTAACTTGGATTTCTTCTGCTAGAAAACATTTTCAATATTTTGATAAACACTCCCCCATGAGGCCTTATCTATTTCTGTGAAGTTGAAATGACGGCCTTTTGGGGGTGGGTGGGGGGGTCTGAGCTGAAAAAGAATGCCTCAAGCTTTGGAGCTAATGTTCAACTTGTAAAACTGTTATTTACAATTAATCTGATGTGAAACTAAAGGTTGTGGCCCTAGGCTTATTTTAGAATACTTCATTTTGGGCAAATTTTTTCAGTTCTGGGTATCCCAACGTATACACCCATTAAAATGAAGTGAAGTGCTAAGATCTAATTCACTGTCCCCGATGGGAAACTGTAAAAACCAGGTACGTTGAGAGCTTTCTAACTTAAAGTGTTTTGTTTTTCTCATCAACAAAGCATAAATCAGTCTCTTCAAAAAGATATCAGTAGAAAACAATTCACTGTGTAATAACTAAGGCCTTTAAAGCATGCTGTGTAAGTTTGCCAGAAGGCCCTGCCCTCAGAGTTTACTGTTATTATGTAACCTCCTTAAAACTAAAATAAGATGGGCGCCTGGGTGGCTCAGATGGTTAAGCGTCTGCCTTCGGCTCAGGTCATGATCCCAGGGTCCTGGGATCGAGTCCCACATCGGGCTCCCTGCTCCTTGGGAGCCTGCTTCTCCCTCTGCCTCTCTCTCTCTCTGTCTCTCAAGAATAAATAAATAAAATCTTTAAAAAAAAAAAAAAAACTAAAATAAGAAGGTCGAGAAAGGAAGTTGTGGTCAAGTCTTGCGATGTGGGGAGGGAGAGAAGTCTCAAATCAATCTCTAGTCCCTGATTTTCCAGAGGGCAGTGGGTGGGTGGAGGATGATGGTACTGTTTTAAGATACTTGCCCAGTTCCAGGGAACTTTCTGCCCTTCAGGTTTTGATTTTCCAGAGGGCAGTGGGTGGGTGGAGGATGATGGTACTGTTTTAAGATACTTGCCCAGTTCCAGGGAACTTTCTGCCCTTCAGGTTTTAACAGCCAAGAGACAAGCCTGGAAGTGCTTTGAGATAGGAGTAGCTAGGAAGTGAGAAAGAAGAGAAAACGCAGAAGGACAGGACGTTAGAAATACTGCGTTCTAGCCTATGCATAAAGAAAAAGTTCACGTGAAGCAGGGAGCCCTGACAATTTTACCAGGTGTCACAGGGCAAACTGGATAGAACTGGGAATCCACTCTCCAGCGGGTGACAGATTCTTCTCTCCTAACAAGCCAGCACCGCAAGTAGAGGTGCTCTCGGTTGCCGAGAAGGCGGGCGCGCGGGGAGAAGGTGCAGAGCCGGCTGAGGCCCCGAGGAGCTCCTGCACCCTGGGGCTTCCTGATAGGCGGGGGCCCCGCAGGCAGGGAGCCCCCCGATCCCCGGGGGCAGCCGGCCGGCCTGGGCGCGGTCCCTTACCTGTCCCGCCCGGCTTCATCCCCAGCGAGTGTCCCACGAACGGGAAGGCGCCGGGTAACGCGGGGACGGGCCTCATCTGCTGCCATTTCCGCGCGTAGCTCGCCAGCATCTGCAGGAGGTTCAGGATTAGGGCGGCGCCCCCCACCGAGATGGCGCTCAGCGCGCCCCACATCAGCAGCTTCTGCCCCCAGTGCACCAGCCACAGCACCAGCATCGCGCCAGCGGTCTGCTCCGCACCCGGACCGAGACTGCCCGGAGAGCAGGGGCGGGGTGCTGGTCGGTCCCCTGGAGGTCAAGTGCGCTGGTCCTGGGAGGAGTTTCGGGACTCCGCAGGGAGGCCAGCGCGCCCCGAAGGGCGAAGAGGTGGCGCCCGGCCCGCTCACTGCTTCCTCCTCTTCCCACCGGGGACAGGCCCAGGCCTGGCCTCCCTGAAACGGGGACCCCGAGACCCGGGCTTCCCGCTGCAGGGGCCGCCCTGGTTCTCGGGACTAGGCGGGAGCCTCGCAGGCTCCAGGAAAAGCACGGATGGGGTTGTTACTGCGTTCGGCAAAAACCTGCGTAATGCACACGGGCCTCTTTATTTGGTCAAGCTGAAACCGAAAGACCGGGAAAACAGCTTCGGGGTTCCATAGAGTGTTGCTGAATGTAAATGAAGGCACTTAAGTGAAGTGGGAGGAGAATGAGAGTGCAATTTGAGGCAACCGCGCGTGGCCCAGGTGGGCTGAGCGTTGGGTTTTAGGTCCCTGGTGCTGGTCACAGAACTCCAGCTAGAGACAACAATATGTGTAAAAATTGAAATAAAGAGGCATCCGGTTTGAAATTCAACCTTAGGAGCTTTTTTTTGGTCCCCCCCCACCCCCCCCCCCACCCCCCCGCCCGGCAGGGTCTCTAACTTCATGCTTCCTTGCACAACCCTGCAGCATTCCACTCTGTTAGGACTGGCTGCCTGCCCCCGGGATTGCACGCAGCTTCTGCACCATTCAGAACACGATCTACTCTGATCTACGGGAGTTTTAGGGACAAAACAACCGTAGGAGCACCAGTTTTCAGTTTGCATCACGTGCTTGATTGAGAAGGGAAAGCTGGGTTGCTGTGATCCAAATATTTTCCAAAATATCCTTGGGACCCTGAAAAGCCAGCACCTAAAAGAACAAGTCAGGGAAAAGGTCAACGCCTTTGAAAGAAGTGGAAATCAGAGAAGCTGGGAAAGGAGGTTTTGGTAAGGAGACAGTAATTCTGACGTAATCCCCAAAGGGAATGAAGACCAATCACTGAGCCTGCAGAAGGAAAAGGGCAGTGACAAGGATGCTGGAATTCTGCTTAAGGGTTGTGTTCCCTAACTACCGATTTCCCTCTTTTTCTGGGATACCTCAATCGTGCCTTAACCTTCAAAATAAAACTGTCAGTTATTTTACCCGCAAAATGGGAAGTATACTTGGTTGTAGCAGAGAACTGCACTTTGAGGCATACGAAAGACAGCAAAACCATCGACAAGCCCAGAGAAGGAAGAAGAAAAAAAAGCGCTCTCTTATAGAGGAAGGAGGGAATTGGCGGTGTGTTAGAAACAAGTCCATTGGCTAATGTGGGAATTCCAAGTGTAGTGGCTTCTCATTGGCTGAACTGTGACAGTCTCTCATTGGCTGTGCTGTTGCTAGGGAAGGAGAAAAACTTTTCTCCCTCCCTCCTGGGATAGTAAAGTAGTATCACCTGCAAGTACCTCTCTTTGCGTTGGGTCTGCAATTGAGGAAGAATGGTAGGGTGCGAGAGCTCCCCCTGCTGGCCTCCCGCTCCATTTCTGATGAGGTTTCCCTTTATTTTTTTTTTCATATAGTCTTTTAAAAAAATTTTTTTTATTATGTTATGTTAATCCCCATACATGACCTCATTAGTTTTTGATGTAGTGTTCCATGATTCATTGTTTGCGTATAACACCCAGTGCTCCATGCAGAAAGTGCCCTCTTTAATACCCATCACCGGGCTAACCCATCCCCCCACTTCCCGCCACCGCCCCCCCCCCCAACCCTCGGTTTGTTTAAGGGCTTTGGGCTGGGAGTGCCCCTCTCCTGGTAGCAAGTCCCTAAACTATAGCAAAAGTGTCAAGGAAGATGGTAAGTTGAGACATGCTCTGGATTCCTACTTTGCTTAGATTAGTTTTATCTGCAGCGTATAGGTTTCACACAGGCATTTACAGGACCTCTTTGAAGTAGAGAAACACTGCCTAGGGCTTTTCTCCAACTGATTTTTTTTTTTTTTTTTAAGTCATCTGTAAGTACCAATGTGGAAAGAGGCTCATGAAATACTAAGTAGAAAGCTAATAATAAAACAAGTTGCAGAACTGAATATATAATGCCATGTCATCTTTGGGAGAAAAAGTTTCTCTAGAAAGAAAAATACTGATCAATTCTATGGAGTGGGAATGGAGAAGAACTTACACTATAAGTTGTCTTTTGTCTTTTTGTCTTTTAGTCACTTCTATATTCTTGTCTATATTCTTGTCTTCTACTCACTTCTATATTGTTTAATCACATTAAGACCTTACGAAAATGATTTATTTAATCTCTAAGTATATCACATGATTTTTTTCTTTCTCTTCTAAAGGATTGAGTCCACATCTACCTTTAGATCCATTCCCCTGCTCCCCTTTACAGAAAAATCCCTCAAAAGACTGGCCATGCCTGTTGGCTTCAATTCCTCTCCTCATATTTCTCTCCTGAACCCTCTGCAATCAGGCCTTGTCCATTTCGCTAACACAGATCTTGTCAACGTCACCAGTATCTTCCCTGTGGCTAAGTCTTTAAGTCATTTCTCGGCCCTTATCAACAGCATTCAACATATTTGAGTCCTTGTCACCTCCTCGGAAAACATTTTTCCCCCACTTGACTTTGAGCATTTCACATTCTTTAATGTTTGTTCTCCCGCACCAGTCATTCCTTCTCAGTTAGCTTTGCTAGTTTCTCTTCACATCCTGTTCCTCTAGATGTTAAGAGGCCCAGGGCCCAGAACTCTTGTTTTCCCTGCATGTCTACACTCACTCTCTTGGTTATTTCATCCACTTTGGCACTCAAATACCATCTAGATGTTGACAGTTGCCAAATATATCCCTCCAGTCTGTACTTCTTCTCTAAACCCCAGGTACAGTTAACCAAATGTCTCAGCATCCCCACTTAGGCATCTAGTAGGCATCTCTCTCTTTTTTTAAAAAAAATATTTATTTGAGAGAGAGAGAGGAGAGAGAGAGAGAGAGAGAGAGAGCCTGAGCGGAGGGTGGGACGTAGAGGGAGAAGAATAAGCAGACTCTCCACTGAGCAGGGAGCCTGATGCGGGACTTGATCCTAGGACCCTGGGATCATGACCTGAGCCAAAGGCAGATGCTTAACTGACTGGCAGATGCTTAACCAACTGAGCCACCCAGATGCCCCTCTTATGGGCATCTCAAACATGACATTCACAGCATGCTCCCTAGTGTTAAGCCAAAGCGTAGGAATCAATCTTGATTCCTTTTCATCACAATCCATATACAATGCAAAAGCAAATCCTATTGACTCAAATTTCAAAAGATATCCAAAGTCCCTTGACTCCTCACCAGCTGTACCACTACCATCTGATCCTGAACATCCTCTGGAGTCAGATTACATCACTCCTCCTGAAAACTCTCCAGGGGCTTCCTATTTCAGATAATTTACCATTTCCAAGGTCAAAAAGGATTTTAACCCACTTGCTAATTCCATGCCACGTCCCACTGGCCTCTTTTCTGTTCCTCAAACCTCCAGGTATGCTCCTGTTTTAGGGCTGTGTGTTTTTTCCTGTCTAGAATGCTTTTTCATATATACATGTTTCTTTTCCTATCTTCAAGTCTTTGCTCAAATATTACCTCTGCAATAAAGCCTTTCCTGACTATTTTATCTAAAGTTGCAGCTTTTTCCACTGTTACCTCACCCCTTTGTACGTTTCTTCACAGCACTATTGCTACATGACCTTGCATCATGTTGGTATCGATTTATTTTATTTATTTATTTTTTAAAGATTTTATTTATTTATTTGACAGAGAGAGACACAGTGAGAGAGGAGCACAGGCAGGGGGAGTGGAGGGGGGAGAGGCAGGCTTCCCACCGAGCAGGGAGCCCGATGCGGGGCTCGATCCCAGGACCCTGGGATCATGACCTGAGCCGAAGGCAGAGGCTTAACCAACTGAGCCACCCAGGCGCCCCTCGATTTGTTTATAATCGTCCTCCTCTGCTAGAATCTAAGTTCTATTAGGGCAAAGACTTTGGACTTTGTCTTGTTCAGTCCAATGTTTAGAACAGAATCTGACACAAAGAAGGTGCTTGATGAATATTTGATGAAATAATAAATCCATGATTATCACACAGGAATGTCATTGCCTGGGGGAAAAAAAGCTTATATTGGGGTATTCATAAATGAGATAAACCCTCCCAAACATGTATGGTTATGTATTTTTAATTTACTGGGAAAAGTATGCTATGCAGTTAGAAATAAACGAGTGAATAACCCGTGTATTAGAAACTGGAGAGGTACACAAATAATATAAAAATTGGGAACGGAAAGAAGTTTTATGAGTGTAATGAAGTCTTGAAAATTCTTTCAATACTTTTATTAAAAATTAAAGAGCTAAAATTCCTGAATAAGATCTGTGGTCATAATGAAGCAAGGACAATAAAAATATAATACCCACATGTTTTATGACATTTTATAAAAATGTACCTCATAATTGGCATGGAAATCCCGTTCTAGTTCAGAATAACATCAGTATGGATACTTCCGTTGATATTAAATTTATAAAATTTAGCAGTTTTCTATGGTATTTTACATGTTTTTATATTTTTATTTTTTTCTTAAGATTTTATTTATTTGTCAGAGAGAGAGAGAGAGAGAGAGCACAAGCAGGGGGAAGCTGCAGGCAGAGGGAGAAGCAGACTCCCCACCAAGCAGGGAGCCCGATTTGGGACTCAATCCCAGAACCCTGGGATCATGACCTGAGCTGAAGGCAGACATTTAACTGACCGAGCCACCCAGGTGTCCCTGTTTTTATATTATTTTAAAATTTCTTCATTTCTTCCTTGGTTTTGGATGAATTAACAGACATTTCAGTAAATGTAGTTATTAACCTTCATTTAAAAACTTATCTCAGGAGTTATTCGACTTTTTCAATTTTTAACGGAGAAATTCTAAGACTCATTTATCAAGGTAGATTATTATGAAAACACTGCCCCAATTTTTCCCTAATCAGTTCAAAAAGCACCATCCTTGACATAAGCATTATTTACTAACCTCTAAATGTCACTTAACCTATAAATAAAATATTATCTTTAATACAAGTGTAAAAATATATGCTATAAACAAGTGTTTTTAAAGTCAGTGGCAGAACCAAATCTCTATTATCTCTAAAATCATACTTTATCCTCCTCTTGAAAAGATTTAGAAGATGCAAATCAGGATTGCTACACCGGGTTCTATCTTTGAAAGCATTTTTAT